GGCAGGGTTTGGCTGTGGTGGTATTAGGGTTATGCACGAACAACTACAAACTTGTCGTGGAATCTGGATCCTTCATCCTGATATATGTGATCGAAATCCAACAAGTGCCTTGCGGACACGTGGCCAGATACTTGGAAAGACTTTCATGGCCACCATGATGACAAATGGGTCTCGCTCAATGCTGTCGCCCTTCTGCTTCTGAAAAGCAGCTGAAACAATCCTGATGCTTGGCCAATCCATTATCAAATCGATCTTCCCAATAGAGAGGGGTCTTGTAACCAATGGCCTTTGGGCGGCAAGTCACCACCAACACTTTTTAAGTTTCAGTCTCAATGTACTATTATACGTAACTTCTTTTAAATTCGTACGGGTGAGCAATGCATTCTTCGGGTGAGTAGTGCATTTTTTTGATTTGACAGTGAAATCTTATACTATTGATAGTTTTCTACGTTGTGTTTAGATCTGATAATTATGTCCAAAATCCAATAATCCATTAATTTGAGAGATTGGATTGGGTAAGTTGGGTAGTGGATCAATTTTTGGTTGGCTAATAAAAATTCATACATATTTTGGACAATTTGGATATTTGTGTTGAGCACCTATTACCCAACTTAAATTAAAAAAATAATTAAACAAATTAAACACAAAATGCACGATCACGCACGCAGGAGTTGATCTATTAAGTCATCGACTTTCCCAATATGTGGGGCCCCACAGATCGTATAATCAGGTGTAACCCCAGTGCACGATAACTTGCCTAAATCTTGATCATCCAAACAAGATCATATCCGCAAGTCGGCTTTTAGCAAGCGGGAATCTCATGTGGCTACTAAATTCTTGTAACGGCTCGATGGGATGCAACCTAATGACTATTAAATGTTGGTGTTTGTGAGTTGTGAGCACTGGGAACATAAGATTATAACGGTGTCGAATTGCTACACAATACAAATCCAATGGCAGCCCCAAGGTGAGTACAAGCGCCTTAATGTGTGCATTGTTTAAATGTTTCTAATTTCTCCATTTTACAACGGCTTAGGTGTGTTATCATGCATGATTCTTTTGTATTTATTTTGTGGGCCAAAATTTCGGCTTATAACTTTCTTTAAAATGTGATTGGATCCAAGTAGTTTAACAGTTAGTATGTGTGTGTGTGTTTGTGAAAGCATATTAGTGAGTACATGCTTGTTCGCGTTCACGTGCATAGTAAATTAGGTATAATTCAAGCGAACTAACAAGATAAGCATTCGTTACAAATTTTTTTTTTCCTCTTTTTTTTTTCTTTTCAATTAATTTTTTCGAATCTTTATAACTTCTACAAACGGATACACAGTAATAACGATAGTACTCAATTATTGCAGAAGCTGCTACTTCCTTGATAAAGTCTCCAAGATGAGTTTTGCTTAAAAAAAGTTGTTGTTTATGTTGGATGTTGTTGTTAGTTGTCTCTTAAAAAAACTTGTTGTTTATTTGCCAGAACTAATCAACTGGAAGGTTCTTGCTGGCTTTGTCCTGTGTGTTGTAACTTGGAAATCTGTTCTGTTGCCAATTAATTCTCCACAAATACATTAGTTTGCAATTAATTAATTAGGTTTTCCCATTGACGGGGAATAGTAGAACTTGAAGCCACTCCACAGCTTGTGCAAACTGTGAGCCCTTGAGCAGCCCAACTGCTCTAGACCCAAAAGATTATGGGTCCGTATGTTCCAACACGTTGGGCCATCATTTAGGATTGTTGGCCTGGATCTGATGAGCACCCCAAGATCTATCTGGCTGGGTTTCCATATCCTCCCGCCCCAAAACGCACCCAACAAAATACAACACACAAAAATGCATCCCTCCGAATCCGATCGTGCGCCGCAAGAGAGAGAGAGAGATTCCTTTCAAGGCAAATAGTTTAAATAGTGCCTTTCAGTTTCAGGGGAGGTTTCTGGAATTAACTCAAAAAATATTTTATTCCCGTGGAAAGTTGGTGGCAGCCGTGCGCGTGGTTCTCTTTCTAGCTATGCCACAAAAACGTATCCGCGAGTCGAAGAATAAATTGATGTGGGCCTCCAATAAATTGGTGCATTAATAATTCTATGCTCCTATTATCAAAAGTTAATTTTTTTTCCAACAAAGCGAAGGAATACAAGCAGTCTAAGGGGACCATTAAAGTCAAACCTCCAAGTAATTGCTGATTAGAAGCTGATTCAATGGGTCTTAAATACTCACACTCGATTCTCTACAGGATCAATGTGAGAGAAAGGGGTGGAAAAACGCTCGACTTAAACCAGCTATCAAAAGTTAATTGACTCACCTTTTCATAGTAAAAAAAATTGTTGAATCGTGGGCCATGCACAGGTATGTATGAGGTTGGGAGGCAGGGAGTTCCTGTCATGTCCAGAAGATTTTAGAAATTGTTGCAAGTCCTTTCGGGAAAAAATATTTTTTGAAAAAATTAGGGTCTCATCCTATCAGACCACAACTTACAAATTAAAATTTAGGGTCTTTGCTTCAAGTATGAATCTTTACAAATTTATTTCCTCGAATTCTCAAATTGCGAATTCGTTAAAGAAAAAAAAAGTGTAAATGCAGTTTTAGTACCAAAATTTGTTTTTCTCGAGTGATTCTGGTACCTAAATTTGGACAAAAACAAATTAGTACCTAATGTTACAATAATTAAGCACAATTGGTTCCCTTGATGAATTTTTTTTTGAAATTCTTACTGAAAAAAAAATACATGCTATCCAATGTCTAGCAATGAAATTATAAACGAATTTTTTTTTTTTACTATTTAATGGTTGAATCCATAAATTCGAACCAACAGTCTCAAAATTTTTTGTTTTTCATTAAAGGGTATGGAGAGGAGAGAAGAGGTTTTGAACGTGTAAGATTAGGTCGATTGGATATTTTCTTAGGTAAGCAATTTTGTTTTTAAACGAGCAACACCTTAAATTGTTCACCAAGTTTTTTGTTACTAGGCACATGACAGCACATGGCTGTTTTTTAATAGGAATTTGAAAATACCCATTAAAGGTACCAAATATGCTTCAATGTTGTCATATTGGATGTCAAGCTTGTTTTCGTCCAAAATTTGGGTACTAAGATCGCTTAAAGATCAAAATTTAGATATCAAAACTGCATTTTACTCGCGAAGAGGACCTAAGAGAAAAATTCGAGTGTTTGTGATCATGTAAGCAACTTTGTATCAGCAGCACTGTTAACGGTTTGACATCCATAAATCATTTCAACGATGTCATATCGAAATTTCTTTCCTACTTCTTTTCCCAAATTTGGTGGCGTAGGCACACACAAAAGAGTTTGCTGCAGATAACGTATAATACTGGGCTTGTGTCCAATGCCTTCCTCCACACAAAGTGCGGTCTCAAGTACTTGGAGATTAAAATTAATACTAGTAGACAACCCACAAAATTTTTTTTTTTTTTTTTTTTTTATCATTATTCCTTAGCTGCTACGGCCGTATTGGTTATTCCTGGCTCCAAATTAAAGAAGAGTAGGTGCCTGTTTCAAGTGGTCAGGTAGCGTTTGTTACCGAATCGAAGGAAAGCCTCATGATTTGGCTTCATTCAGGCTCTTGTACGTCATAGACACTCGTCCTCTCAATCATTGCACCGCATTTTGAATTTCTTACTCCAACGAGGGCCATGTCTACTTGCTACTCCAAGCAATAAATTATAAATAACAACAAACTGAGAGCGCCTAGTTTATTGCAGTGGTAATTACCAGTAATTTTGTCGGTCGTTTTCCCACATTTCCAGCCTTCCTTGCGTTATATATACGTCAACCTAACCCTCTAGCAGACAAATCAGGCTGTGATGTCCTTCCTTCCTTATGGCCTGTTTCACAACACTTGCCCTTCTTTCTTTCTTGACTAATTTGGACCAAACAAATAATAATGTTGAAACTGTCAGTCCTCTAAATAATATGTATATCTCGTGAAACGAATTCAGAATGACCTGCAAATTGATTTGGTATTACTTTCGCATCGAAAGCCTAGAGAGAAAGAAACGGGCGTGTGCGCCTAACGAGTTAGGTGTCGATTGACCAGTGTAATTACTAATTCAGAAGTCTCACTCGAGGTGTTTTTTTTTTTTCCGTTTGTTGTTGGTGGCATAGCCATTTTGGTTAGAAGAATCGGCATGAACAGATCAGAATTCTTGTGGAGCGTGCTTATACATACATACAGTAGAGCCATCATCTTATGCACTCCGATCCCCCGAGTAAGTGAAGGCGTATCAGGCGGTCAGAAAATCCATTTCTCTTGGGCATATTAGATGATGAGGACCCTATACTTTTCGTACACATGCTGTTCCAAGAACTTACCCAAAAACTAAAGAGGATTTGATATTTACCCATCAAAATAGATCTTCATGCACTCAAAAGGCTAGACCCGAGTGCCATCTTTACATGCTAAGCAAGTCTGAAAAGCACAGCTAGTGTTTGCAGCTCCAGGCGTCCTTGCATTGCTCTTCTGGCCTCAACCTTCAATACTCTCACGAATCTCACCCAGCAACATACTAATCGTCTGATGCGCAAAAGACCTCGATCATACTCTTCAAAGCAAAGAATTGCAGCTTCCACGTTTGATTCACAAGATTTTTAGCCAGAATTAGCCATTCCATGACTAGTGTATTACACCGGCAATAGGACTCTCATTTTCGTGTAGGTTAACACTTGTATATATGTTGTCAAAGCTACGCGTTGAACCTACACCTTTTTTTTTTTTTTTTTTGAAAGAGGAAAAACCTATCTGTCCATTAATAAAGAACTTTTGGTCCCATATACAGCTCGCTCACTGGGCAAGGAGCATTAAGGGATTTCAGCATGCTGGTCCTGTAATGCTGTAAAGAACGTTTGTCTCGTCGTTCTACCTTTTTTTATTATTCCTATTACTAATTTTTCTTTTGTTCCTATCAAAAGCTGATTTAAACGCACCATGTGTAGTATTATTGCAAACCTTTTTTTTTTTTGTGCTTTGGCAGCCTTTCCACGAATAGCATTGCATGTAGCATATCCAAACTTTTAAGGGCACTCAATCTTCAATCATCAAGCTTAGTGCCGTCCTCTTTGCAACACCTCCAAAAGCTGCTGATCTAACATTCCTAACCCTTCGAACGTATATATATGGACTTAAGCTTCTTGATCAACATACCCCTATTTTAATATCCTTCTCTTCAGCTAAAAACAAAAATGGTCCAGAAACTAGTACATATTTAAGTATTCAACACCCCCCGCCCCCCCACAAAAACACCAACAAAGTACCCCTGCTCTTCACCTAGCTCTCATCCCTCTGTGCGTGCATGCTTACATATGAGGTTCAATGGATGATCATGAATCAGTAAAGGAGGAAGTCAATCCAGCCGTCATGTTGAAAAATCAATCGGCCGAGAAAGGAGCGAACAGAGGGTCATGGACTGATGAAGAAGATCGAAAACTGGCTGAAGCTATTGAGATCTATGGTCCAAAGCGATGGAAGACTATAGCATCCAAAGCAGGTCATGCTACTATCTTGAAGCACTCTATAAAGTCTTAGTCGCGCACATTCGGTTATCTAAATATCTCCAAAAAAAAAAAAAGAGAAAAACTTTAAACGTTTACCAAAAAAAAAAATAAAAATATAAAACTTTAAAGAATTTGCATGCAATTCCTCGTGGCATGATAACCAATAATCTTAAGTGCTGATTACCTGATCATCTGCAGGCCTTAAAAGGTGCGGTAAGAGTTGTAGGCTGAGATGGATGAACTATCTGAGACCAAACATCAAGCGAGGAAACATATCTGATCAAGAAGAAGACTTGATTGTTAGGCTTCATAAACTTCTGGGGAACAGGTGAAAATATTCGCGTCATGGACGTCGACTAGAAAATTGATTGGATAAGGATTTTTGTTTTAACTTTTTCCGTCGACTTAATTGCAGATGGTCCTTGATAGCGGGAAGGTTGCCTGGTCGAACGGATAATGAGATCAAGAATTACTGGAATTCTCATTTGAGCAAGAAAGTTCACCAAAAGGAGAAACAAAGCAAGGGAACTGCAGAAATGGGATGCTCTAGGATTCGGAAGAAAAGGAAGGCGATGAATGAGGTTAAAGCGGATAGGACGAGAGAAGGGAATTCATCTTCTGGTGGTGCTCCTGGAGATTCAAAACTGAGCTTCGATGTAGACGACTTCTTTGATTTCTCCAATGAGGATCCTATGACTTTAGAGTGGATCAGCAAATTCACCGAAATGGATGACGGCTGACACCTTGATCCTCTTTCTTATTACTAGCTAGTAGAACCTATTGCCTCCAAAATTAGTGGATGACCGAACTCCTATCAAATAGGTGGGTTGCTGCTACCGCTGTCTAAGATGTCGGAACTTCCGTTATATTGCTCTACGTGCAAAAATTAGAGCGCAGTTGATTAGATGCAGTTCAAAAATAGTAACGCTACTCATCCAGCGGACGCGCTGTATTTTTCCCTTCTTTGTACTCTATTTTTTTTTTTGCTTTCCAAATCAAATCTTTGTGCTCTAATTGCTCCCAGTGAATTCTTATTACTATGGAAGTAAAAGACGGTTCGAAAAGATAAATGAATATTTGCAGAACTTTTGAGGATCTACCACCCATCTTCTTTTTTTTTTTTTGGATAACTACAATATTTGCTAACATTCAGGAAAAGAGAGCCACAATGCCGATCCATGCCTTTTCTACTTTGAAGCTCTTAATTAATAATTCACGAACTAACCCAAGTAGGGTACATAAATTAAGCTTAAAAAATTGCAGACCTTAAAAAGAGATTATAATTTTGCAAACAGTAGAGGACGCACGCACCCATCATCAAGAAAAGTATGGCTTGAAACCAAAAACATAGAGGGAACTAGAAATTATATCCTGAGCTGGGGGCAAATTTTTAACAAATCTAAACTTAATTACATGATATAAAATATCTTAAAGTTGTGGTGGGACAAAAGTTTAAATTTCCAAAGAACGTCCCTAAAAACAATTTCTAGTTTCTACGGGTGGAAAACCCTATTCTCTATGGGAGCTTTCTAAGATCAAAACAAAAAGAAAACATAACTACTAATACGGTTAGATTTGAAATTAATTTTAATCAAATATGCACAGCTCCTTTCTGAGGGGCGGGCACAGTCAAATCTAAAAACTTTTTTTTTTTTTTTTTTTTTTGGGTTATCGTCAAATCTAAAAACTTAGATGGGCAAAAAGTTCAGTGGGTCCCAAAAAAAGGAAAAGAACAAAAGTTTTTTTTTTTTTTTTTGGTGGAGTAAAAGAGCAAAAGTCAGTAAAGTACGTATGAATAAGTTAATGTGCGAACCCCAGAAGACAACAAATAACTTTTTTTTAAAAAAAAAAAAATTATGACCAGCTTGCGTGAAATGCTTTTTGATCCTCTCTTTGATTGATTGGACTATAGTATTAATCTTGATGGACCCACACACACATGTTTTTCGTTGTTTTTTTGGTTCTCAAGCAGACTGAGACGACAGTTAGATGGGCAACGTGATTGCCATTCCTCACCAAACCGCCGGACAGTTAGACATATAATAGCCTTTTTGTTAACTGTTTCTCTCTAATTGCTTCTTGCAGTTGCAGGAGGCAATTTATCGAATGCCACGAAAGACAAGGACTCACGTGCTAGCACTAATCGGCATCATCGAAAAATGAAAAATAACTTTTTGGAAAATAGGAGCGTTAAAAAACTTACAACTACCGTTGGCTACTGAAATTCCACGTCTGTCTAACATTATCCTATATATATATATATATATATATCTCCTTATCCGCATATATAATATTTCTACACTTGAATCTTAGACATTTTCGCTAGCTAGTAGTTAACCTTGAATCAAAGCTACTCAATTAATAATTGATTCAAAGATGTTAATTAATATTATATGTTCGTAACTTTTAAAATTATAACGTCTGTGATGCTTCTATAATTCATAAAAAAAAAAAAATTTTGTGAATTACAAGTGAGCATGCTTTCTAAGCCTTGAAATTAAAAGAGTAGAATCAAAATATCAAATATATTTTGCCTAGTCCATGCATGGGGAACCAGGCTCTGTTTGGATTCAAGAGTTTTTCAAAAATTAGGTTTTCAATTACTATTAAAATTTTTAAAAAGTATTCTAAAAGGTACTCTAAAAAGTATAGTCTAATTTTTTTTTTATGTTTAAAAAATATCCCAAAATATATTCTAAAAGCTCTTAAATATTTCAAAATATGTTGTAAAAATATCTCAAAATATACTATAAAGATTCTGCAACAGTAAAATTTTTTAAAAACACCCAAAAAAAAAACAGTTAATCTAAACGGACAGCCGGGCTGCCATCCGCGTTACTGTACCAGGCCTATATGTATGTTTACTGAAAGAGCCATGTTGACTAGTACGACAAGGTTGGGGACCGACAGTATCTTGCCTCTGGGCATGTTTAGGATCCCTTGCGGGAGCTGGAATACTCCAATAAAAATTTCATGAGAAAATAAGATACTACTACTAGAATTAGGCACTCACATCAGTCCTGCTATGTTTTTTGTCATTTACCAATATTGCTGATATCAATTGACGGACTGCTGACATGGGCATGCAGTGTCGAATAAATATGCTGAACCACCCACCCGCTTCCGAAGAAGGCAAACTTGCAAATGCGTCTTTAATGAACGCAACGCTACATGAATGTTATCTATGCAGTGTTTTCGGCAAGTTTTCCTTTTTTGTGTCGATGCCTGGGAACATGAAAGGGTTAGCCAAGCGCAGCATAAACAGCATTACAGTTTCGTTGCCCACGCAATTACCACCTTCTGAATTTTAGACGAGGGTTATTTTGTTCCTCTTTTGAGCGTGATGAAATATTAACTTGAGATCCTTCCCAACGCCCGAGTAGAAATGTACGGTGGTTTAGGGTGTGTTTTGTTGGAGTGTGAGATATTTTCCATGGAAAATAATCGCTTTTCTTTTCGTGTTTGTGTTTGGTTGAGTTAATTTGGTTTCCCTAAGAGCCGCATACTCACTGAACCCCAATTTTCCAACCCATCAGGGAAGAAGATCATGCTGCGAGGGCCACAGCATTTCATTAAGAGGAGAAATTGAAAAATCACGTGGCGACCGACACATTTAATTAGCACACGATGAAAGTTTTTCCAACAATAGGTTCCAAATAATTACTGTAATATACAGCTGACGCTCTAGAAAAGGCGGAATAATTAACAAGAAGAAAGTAGTAGAAATAATAGACAATCATGCATACAGCTGCCTCCTTGACTCCTTAGTCCTAAAGCGACGTGAAAGCCCAACAGGATGTTAACATCTTCCTCTAGCAAAAAATTACTTATCAAACTTCCAACGTCCATTTTATCAATAATCACAAAGATAATCTACACCCAAAAAAAAAAACGCACTTATTCTCTGGTACAATGAGACGCTAACTTCGTAGCTATTAATTTACTGATAAGGCTATAATTGCGAATCTTCAAACCGAAAAAGAAAAGGAAAAAAAAAAAAAAAAAACTTACTTTACTGGACTTCATGAAGCCAGGTCACAGCAGTATCAAGAAGATCTGTAATAGAACCAAGATCCGCATGATCATTCCGATCATCATGGGAAAGCGCTCTTGGACAACAGTTGAAAGAGAAATCATTGGCCTCATTATTATCAGTACCTTGTGCTACTACCTCGGGAAAATCTCGTTCGAATTCCATGTTGAGAAAATCGGAAAGGAAGTCGTTGTCCATTTCAAAATCCATCATGAAGCCCGAAGAGCAGCCTTCTTCTCCTGAAAAAGTTGGGGGCGATTCGGTTACCCCACCTGAAGCTGGGACGGGGCCAACTTTTTCGCTATTGTCAGTAGTACGAGTTTCGTTGGAGTCGTCTTTGGCCTGATCAGCCCCAGACGGCACTGGAGATTTCACCGCCAAAACACCGGGTTGTTGTGCAGAGGGAGTTTGTAAGTCAGCGTTGAAGAAAACTTTAGTGCACCTTCTAGCCTTTGTGCGGACCACATATGTAGAGGATCCTTCTCGCTTTTCTGAATTTGGCGGCTGATGAGCACTGCTCGTTAGCTTATGCAGTAGTGTTGTTGATGACGGGTTGCGTTTTGTGCAGGAGGAGCTGGCGGCTAAGCGTTCACCGCTTTGATACTTCTTGGCGAGGTTGGTGTTCCAATAGTTCTTGATTTCATTGTCTGTTCGCCCCGGAAGCCTTCCAGCTATCAAGGACCACCTGCAGGACACACATACACACGCACGTATATGGCCCGATCGATGATCAGTTACTCGACAGCTTTACAAATTCGAAAATGTAATAGTAGAAAATATATAGTAACGTGCCGACACATGCATGTGGATTGAATGCATGCGGGAATTAATATAGTAATCAAGAATGGACAACATGAGTGAGTGTGGACTGGCCTGTTTCCGAGGAGCTTGTGCAGCCTGATTATGAGGTCCTCTTCGTCATCAGTTATGTTTCCTCTCTTGATATCAGGTCTTAGATAGTTCAACCAACGAAGTCTGCAACTCTTTCCGCATCTTTTGAGGCCTAGGTTTTGCCAGTTTATAATTTGACGTGACCAAATAATACATCTTCAGTTTTAACATTAAAAAAAAAAAAAAAAAACCCTTATCTAGCATGCACATTGTTAATAAGTAGTACTATGCATTTAATCCTGATAAAACAAGCTAACTGACCTGCTCGTTTGGGAAGACTTCTCCATTTTCCTTCGCCGTGGGACTTGATGTAGTCTGTCAGCAATCTATCTTCCGAAGGAGTCCAAGCCCCTCTGTTTAAGCCTTCCTTAGCACAGCACGGGCTTCTCCCCATCTTTCTTGCTCTCCTGTAGTAGTGTCCTTTCAGGCTTTAGCTAACTGTACTCGTTATTGCGCCCAAATGGTAGAGGAATGCGCGCATATATTTATATTCTTGTTTTGGAGGTTACCTGTTAGGTTAGGGGCATGAGATCCTGCGAGGTCCCCTACGATTTCAATCAACATCGTACATCCCTAAACTTCAACAAGCTTTCTGGCGTCAATGCGTGATGGGGGCCGGGGAGAACATGTGCTTGCCTAACTCTTGCTATTTAAAACGCCATCAAGACTTGTTTAATTAATCATATTTTGTCAACAGAAACTTTTGAACACGATTAGATTGGAAAAGTAGTTCATCGCTGTGAAATTTACGCCGGATCATTTCAATGAACGCATGATTTTGCATGCTTACCAAATTTCAAATAATTTACAAAAAAAAAAAAAAAAAAACTTGTGATTCCTATCTTTCTCAATGTCTGACTTACTAAAATTCAGTAAGCCACTTGGTTCTCAATATGATATATTGTCGGACCAAAAAGATTTTACAAAACTAGCATATTTTATTTTCAATAATTATTCCTTTAGATCTTTCTTAATTAATATTTATACCTAGCTAGTTGATTGACCTGAGGCTTGCATTTTGAGATTTTAAAGTAATTTACCCTCCCCAAATACTGGGGTTGGAAATTATTAAAATCTAAGGATGTTCAAGATATATATTTTTTCTAACTTGTATTCTATATATGTAAATCAAGGACGTTTTTCTTAATACTACTCGTAGCCCAGCTTTGATAGACTCAACCAACTCGTTTAGGAGAGTTGGCCTGCAATGCTAAGTTCCTTCGTTGGAGTGCAGTTAGAGGGCCGGGAGAGGACCCTCCATCATCGACTTTGCAGTTAATCTACAAGGTGCTCAATTAATTACTACACTCTTCTAAGCTAGAGGTGGCTTAGTTAGTAGGAGTAGGAATAGGAATAAATTAGCAACCATTATTATCGATCGTTGAAAAAAAAAAAAAAAGAGTAAAAACAAGAACTTTGGTAGACTCACTCGAAACAAAACTATACAGCGACAGGTGATTGATTACAGTCATTTTAAGAGCATTTTTTTAGAAAATAAAAAAAAAGAAGAAGAGGAAAACTAAAGAATTTTACATGCAGTTGAATATCTGAGGATATGTAATTTAACAAAAGAAAATCCAGATTCATCATCTTAGAACATTCTCCCATCATTTGCACTTTTTGTTTTTTTGTTTTTTTTTTTAAATTGCACTCTCACTACTGTTATTTTTATCATATCATATAGTTTTTATTTATTAGACTATATGATAAAATAAATGGTAATATATATATATATGGCGGACGTATGACAAGACCTTTTTTTTTTTTTTTTTTTTTTGTCAAACGGTAGTATGACAAGACCTGGGTAGGTGTATTCTTGTCTCAGTGGGTCTTCCTCTTTACTGGGTATTTTTTGAGTGTTAAAACAATAGATTTTGCGCTTGCCAAACAATTGGATCTGTTCCCATTTGATCAAATAACGGGATTCTTGACTAGAGAAGGCTTCTGTGATATGGACGAGTGGAAGCCTCCTCGCCGGCCAAACAAGGAAGAGGCTTAGCAACCAGCTAGCTCAGGCCAACTCGGTCGATCTAAACTTTGAAAAGCCTTTCTGTCATTAATTAAGTGGGGCTCCGTTAATGTCTGTTTGGTTTCTCCGACAAATGAAATGAACGAATTTATATAATTTTTTCAAGTTTAACCAGGTTACGGCATTAGGACCGTCAAAGAGACAAAGACAAAGTTTTTCATATTTTGGTACATCTTCTATGATCTTTAATGATGTAATATAAAATGACAATTTTTTTTTTCCATGCAATCGTCTATTTCAAGCTGGAAAAATTTTATTCCACTATTTTCAATTTTCAAAATGAAAAACAAAAAAAAGAGAGAAAAGAATAAGAGCGGTTTTACGCTAAGCATTGCACCACGTAATGTCTCCGGTAGCCCGTAATAGAATCTCTTCCGATGGCCTCCACCGGACTCTCTAATCTAGACTTCATTATTTTTGTGTTTTCAGATGAGAAATGGCAAATATTTGGTAAGCAAGAGGATATTTTCTGGCTTTCACATGACTGTTGTCTTAGGTATTTAAAATTCGTGATAAAGAAAGCGATAGGAGGAAAAAAAAAGTTGATTAGACGGTGATAAGTTCGCTTGCCATGGAATTAATGAGTGTGTTTGGAATGTAAATTATTTGAGATAATTTTGAGAAAAAAATACTGTAACATTTTTTTTTTGATATGATGTATATGAGAAAAAAAAGGTAATTGAAAAATGTATTGATGATGCAAGCAAGTCAATGTATATAAATAAAGTGAAAATTTTTACAATCCAAACACACTTAAAGATTGAAACACGAATCTCGCTCGAAATTTAACAATTACTTGGAAATGTAAAGATTGCCTGAAAATATATAAAGAAACTGCTTGAAATATAGAGATTGCTTGTGAACAGGAAATGGAAAGCTTAAATGATTATAAGAAAGTTTGGAAAATCCTAAAGAATTTTTTTTTTTTAAATAAAACCTTGTAAATTGAGAGCATTTTCGTGTGAAAACAAAGCCTTGTCAAATGTGAAATGCAAATGGACTGAGCGCTTGCGAGATTATACCTATACCTCTGGGTCCGACCCAATGAACTCTGTTTAATCCAGGCACAGTCATGCTTAGAATATTTTAAATGGGCGATGTAGATTGAACCGAGATCGATGGGTCGATCCGGACCGTGGACTCTGACACTGGCGCGAGCGAGTAATGCGTCATCAAACCTACCTTTCCTTCTAGTTTCTCCCGAAGGCGGCGGCTAACCTTCTCAGCATGTCTTGAACATTAGTTGACACTTGAAAGCAAAGCAACGATGACAGCCCAGTAACAGTAACCCCCAACAAGACATCTCCGACGTGAACGGAAGTGGTCAAATTCTGAATTTAACGTCGATATTCTTTTGCCAATCATTGTCAAAATTGTGAATATTACCCCCCACCAATTATTCATACCGTTAGCTAAGGTTGTACGAAGAGGCCTAACAAATTGTAACGTGTGCGGTCCTGCGCCCTTCTAGCCAAGAGATATGCTGCTAGTCACCACTCACTATTGTGCATTGTGCTGCTAACCAACCAACAAGTCTTCCAGTCACCATGGTTTGTGTGGTACAAGAATTTGCCAGAAATGGTTTGAATTGCAATTATTGGAGAAAACCTTTTTGGAGTTTCTGAGAAGAGATATTTTTCCCGACAACAACGATAACAGTTGCATATCCTATTCTAAGGGGAGCATAAAGAGACTTGTGTATCAGAAATTAGTAGGTATGCAGAACTGACTAGACTAAACGAGATGCCATAACACCCTTTTGGATTTTTTTTTTGCTGCAAGTGGGGTTTGAACTCCCCACCTACAGCCACTGAGCTAAGCTCCGTGGTTTCTGAGAAGAAATATTTGCTAACACATTTCTCAACAAGCTTTAAGCTCAGGTACATTTCATTTCCCAAAAAAAAAAATTGCGTGTTACAGTAATATTTTTCTACAAAAACTCTAAAAACAAAATGCAATCCAATCATAACTTTGGGAAGTGATTAAGAATTATAGTGGCTTTTAGCATAACTTGGGATATATATATATATAGCATATTTGGCTACTCCATCCATATATCTATGAGCCTGCATTGCTTGACCGGACACCAGTATACGGGGGACGTATGGCCGCTAATTCGATGCGTATGTTATAATAGCCTCTGAGATGTGTCTCTATCTAGAAATCACTTTTAATGGATATCATTGGATCAACTCTGAAGCTGCCAACTTGTCAAAGGCAATTCTCTCCGTGCACTGATGAAGTAGGGACATAGAATACTAGTCAAAACTCTGAATGCACTGTCATCATCGTTAAATATATGATAATTAATTTAAAATCTAAAATTTTATATATATATTATATGTTATGTATTTAACTGTAATAAAGTCACTAATTATATATATATATATATATATATGCACGCGCGTGTATATATATATATTTTTTCAGTCTCTACCAAACATTCACCATTACAAGTGGCACTCTTGAGATAAAATTTGGTAGAGAATTAAGAGGTGGATTAATTGGGATCTGGAGCTAGCTATATATGAAAATTTCATGAAATGCACGCCCTTGCCAATCAAATAATTAAGAGGATACTGGAATACTCCATTGTTTCCGTCCAGTCACTCACTTGCGTAACCGAAATCTTCTCCAAATTCACAGTAACTTGTAAGATACTTACAAGACTGAGAGGGACAAGCTGCATTAAGATTTTGACGCAGTTGTGTTGTATTTCTTTTGGTTACAAGACCGAAATCATACTGTATGAAGTGAAGGTCAATAACCGACAAGGTGCACTGCAGACAAATTATTACGAACTTGAAAGCGACTCTCGTACATAATCACCAACTACTCTTATACCATCCACCCCTCCAAAGGAAAAGTCTACAAACTGCTTTTCTTATTTTCTTCCCTATTGAAAACCCTTCTCCGTCCTTGCAATCATGAGAATGAAGGAAAATCCGGTCGACATTGAACCAAGCCCCAAAAAAGAAAAGCTAAAAAACCATTACTCTTCCACTGGAAAAATAAAAGACGCATTAAAATAAACAAATAGGGATCAACTAGAAACTCGACAGGGATTAACAAAGAAGCAGGACGAGGGATTGGTGTTAGAGCATTCGACAAAGTAATTAACAAAGTTCAACACTGTATTGAGCCGGACCACTCTATATTGAAGTTGGAGTGCAGCACTGTATAGGAAGCGTGGCCAACGTTCTTTTTTTTTTTTTTTATTTCTTATGTGTTATCCTAAATTCCAAAATGACTGAAAGAGACAGCTAATCTCTTTTTGCTTTGAGAATAGGGGGAAAAAAATAGGAAAGGAAAGGGAAGTTGTTTTGCTTTCCAGTTAACCTAAATCGTTGAGTTCTGATTTGAGGTGGGAGAGACGGATGATTTGTACTCGGGCAAGAAAACGGTGAATCGGGTTTGTTTGGATAGAGT